GGATGCAATGGTGTAAAGCACGCCGCCACTGGCCTCTAGAGCAGTGGAGACGCGTTCTCTGGAGTGATGAATCACGCTTTTCCATCTGGCAATCTGATGGACGAGTCTGGGTTTGGAGGTTGCCAGGAGAACGGTACATTTCAGACTGCATTGTGCCGACTGTGAAATTTGGTGGAGGAGGAATTATGGTGTGGGGTTGTTTTTCAGGAGCTGGGCTTGGCCCCTTAGTTCCAGTGAAAGGAACTTTGAATGCTTCAGGATACCAAAACATTTTGGACAATTCCATGCTCCCAACCTTGTGGGAACAGTTTGGAGCGGGCCCCTTCCTCTTCCAACATGACTGTGCACCAGTGCACAAAGCAAGGTCCATAAAGACATGGATGACAGAGTCCTGACCTGAACCCGATAGAACACCTTTGGGATGAATTAGAGCGGAGACTGAGAGCCAGGCCTTCTCGACCAACATCAGTGTGTGACCTCACTAATGCGCTTTTGGAAGAATGGTCAAAAATTCCTATAAACACTCTCCTCAACCTTGTGGACAGTCTTCCCAGAAGAGTTGAAGCTGTAATAGCTGCAAAAGGTGGACCGACATCATATTGAACTCTGGGTTAGGAATGGGATGGCACTTCAGTTCATAGTAGGAGTCAAGGCAGGTGAGCCAATACTTTTGGTATTATAGTGTATATATATATAGTAAGTATCTGCAAGTATATATATATATATATATAGTAAGTATCTGCAAATAGTGCAATGCCGGTGTGTGTGTGTGTCGTACTTTGCCCTTGTCGAAGTAGTTGATAATCTGTTGATAGAGCTGATCCTTGAGCTGTCCTTGTGTGGTGGCCTGGTAACCGTCTCTCTGGGTCAGGTGGGCTGCACACGCCTCGTCTGACCACTACAGGGGGTGGTAGATTGGAGGGAGGAGGGGGAAGGGGCGGCAGGTTAGTGCAGGGGTCAAGACCATGCAATACAATATAGAGCAAAAAAAAGCACAAGTGACAAGGGATCGATTGTTGACTTATGGCCAATGCAAATAGCCGGGAATGATCTGCTGTGTGAGACTGATGTCTGTTCCTTCGGAAGTTTGAACAAGACTGAAACTTAAGACCTGAGCAATGAAACCGACCTCTATACTCATTGAATGGTCCTGCGGCTCAAGGATCTCTGTTTGTCCTATTTGCAGGTGTGTGACTTACAGTAAACCTAAACTGCTGCAAAGGTGCGGCGGCTCCAGTCAAACTGTGTAAGTGTCAAAGCGTTCACTGGTTCATTACACTGGAGGATCCAGTCGACTGGTCTGAGGAGCCACATTTAACTAGCATTTTTTTTTGTAATTTTTTGGCACAGTAAAACGTTTTTTTAAAAGGAGAAGGTCCGCACCGTGCTGCTGCGGTTCTAGAAAAATCTGGATCAACATATCGATTCCTCCTCAGCTGAACCTCAGCATTTAGATGAACAAAACTTAGGTGTAGATGCATCTCTGAAAAGACAAAAAGTGTTGTGAATTTACTGACTGTTATTACATCAGAGCGGGCCCTCTCCCTCAAGACTAATGTTCATTATGCAGCGCCCGTTTTTACACAGCGACTGGTGCTGAAAGCAGCCTGAGTGAACGTCATTTATCCTTTTTATCACGACTGTATGTAGATACAAACAGAGCTGATTGAAGATATTACCTGGGACAGATTATTGGTGAATAAATCTTTAATCAATACTGCTGTGCAACAAGATGGACTAATTTCTAACATGTACTGTAATTGACTCCATCCATACAGGAATGTTACAGTCAGGACGCCTTTCTCTCTCTCTCTCTCTCTCTCTGTGTGACAAACTCAAAAATAAACAGAACAAATCCTGCAGATGTGGCTCAACCAGGGAGAAGATAATTCTGTCGTCTGCTGTCCCTGTTTGGGACCTGTACAAAGGCTGGAACTACCAGCTATTTATGCAAATACAAGCAATATAGTGGTTGCCACCATGCTAGATAAAAGGCAGAGCTCCAAATACAGACTATACTAAAGCCCATATGGGAATAGACACAGGTTTCTTGGTGTGAAGGATTTTTGTGTGTTGGGTGTGAAGTACTCTCGCCTGGAGACAGGAACTTTGGAGGCAAAAAAAAAATCAAAAATCAAAATCAAACATTATATATTTAACCAATATCCAATAGTGCCTTTTCTAAAACCTAATGAAGCTTCAGAAATATCTTTTCTATTTTCCTTAAAGAACATTTGAAAATAAGTCAACGTACTGCAATAGACATTTCCCAGAAGTCCACAAATACGGAATTCTATGATAAAGAGTGTTTGCAGATGTGTTAAGTTTCAATGGAGGATATGTAGAGAAATACATTTGTTGTTGTCAATAAATAAAGATTTGTTTTTCCAAATGTGTCTCAGGAGGCTACCTCCTACTTGTTGAGTGACATTCACTTTGAATGTGTTGTGATATTTGCATCTTTCTATTGAACCGTTGTGTCATCTGATGTTTATCAACTCTGCCATGGAGTAAGACAAAAACCATCCAACAACAGGGACGGTAAACTGATCCGAACACTTTGATCCATGCCAGGTTGCTTTATTTCTCCTAGATAAACACATCTGTAGAGAGCAACAGTCAAAAATAAAAAAAAATCTCAACTGAACTGCTCTGGTGCCACTGAAGGATTCAAACGTGACACTCAATTTGTCCTACTCCTATCTAATATATTATTCCACTGACTTCTTCTTCTCATTGCTCAGTTTAAGTTAGTGTTGGTGCACTTTGATATATTTGGCTGAGTGTCACTCCACAGTCACCACGGTGGTACTTTGTCGGACTTTGTACCTTTAGTAATCTGGCATGCAGCAGTAGAGTGTAGGCAGCCTCCGTGTAGTTGTCGCACTCTTTGTGGAGGTCACACAGCTTGTACAGGTACCTGGCAGGAAAGAGTAATGATTAATGGGTCACATCTGGAGAGGCTCTCTCGCACTTCAACAGCAGACAGGAAGTTAACGCCACCACACTAATGGGTCTTGACAGGCTCCCTTTACACCAAATAAAATTTGGCACAGAGATGGGGATAAAAAAAAAACCTGAATGGGAAAATAGTAAAAACTGTGGATTATCAAACTGGAATTTTTTTTTAACACTGGAGCTTTAACACTTACTGCCATGATGTCATTTAATGAGGTTTATGTTTGTGTTTTTTTTCAATGTATGTGACTCTTAGACGCTAAGACATTTGTCTTACCTGATGTACATCTCCTCTCTGTCTATCTCCTTGTAAAAGTTCTACAGGAAGAAAAAAGTGCCATTAAAATGCATTGAAATCCACAGACACCGTAGGACTCTGAGGCTGCAGCGAGTCGAGCATTTAAATCATAACACCAGTAGTTACACCGAAATATTTTTTAAATATCTAAATTCTTAAGTCTGTGTGAGAAACCAGGATGGATGGATTTCTGACTGGATACATATTCATATAATATTTATCTGTAACGACTTACTGCACTGCCCTCAAATCCAGAACTGAGATACAGATATTTTATACATGACACGACTGTGAGCGAACACGACTCAGATAAACGTTAAATGTAGGACACAGGCTCGCAGCCACCAGGAGTTGACATTTTGAGGGATCTGTGACGAGGGGTTACTTCACTGGGAAGAAGTGACACAGATAAAGTGCTCTGTGGTTACCAACTGACATTTGGAGACGGCTGCCGTTTGTTCTTTTTCTAAAACACAGTCAATCTAGAGTAAGACAGTATGTACAACGGGGAGTTAGGTTTTTTGGCCTGATTTGTGTTTGAGGTTTTGTACAAAAATTCTAACATGTAAGTTAGGGCCTTATAAACCAAACAGGCCTCACTTTGGGTTGAGAGTTACTGCAGGGAGGGCGCAGTACGAAGCGAAGGCCCAGAGAGAAACTTAAGGGTCAGGAGTAAAACTCATATCTTGACATGTATTTCCAGCGCCGTGTGTGTACGCAGGTATTTCCAAACTGCCCTCTTACCAGAACATTGACAGTGCAGCTCATGCGGTTTTCCTTGTTCTCGTCGTGCATGATAGTCCTGTAGTCCAGCAGCCTCTCCAGCAGACGGACCACCAGGGTGACGAAGTTCTCACCCGTCTTGGCCAAGTATTTGTGTTTCCTGCAGTGCTCCAGTAAACTGGGGTATGTATATGTGAGGCACAGAAGAGATGCAGGTAAATAAATGTGAATTATTTAAACAAGATTTTTTTTGTCATGAATATCAGTTCAGAGAACTAACAGGATTTCATAGAACACGTTCCCCCTCTGACACATTAGAGCAGAATTAGCTTTTTGCTGTGCTGCAGCACTGATCACAACTGTAATGAGGAGTCCTATGATCCTCACCGCACTGTGATTATTCTGAGGAGTGCTATGTCACCCTTAGCGTTATCTACCCATGTGAGCAGCTCAGGCGTAATCCCGTCCATAAATCAGCACTTACATTTTCTGAAAGAGAACCTTGTACTGCTCGTCACCGCGGCCCCCCTCCACCTCATGATCCAGCTTGGTGATGATCTCGTTCTCAAACTGCAATTAGACAGAGCAGGCACAAATAATCAGTGTAGCTAATTTTTCAATTCATTAACGCCGTCTCCCCGGCTCGGCGTCTCGCTTTGCTTCCAGGATGACAGGATCTGTGCTTCCACCATTCCCCTCCGTCTCCTGTGGCCCAGCTGGCTGCTGCCTTTTATTGATATATTGGAGCTTTTCTTTATCTGGGTAATTTTGGAGAGATCAGACGAGGCTACACCATAACACACATTCTGTTGTTGTTTTTTTGCAGTGTCTGGCAGCACTTAACGTCTCTGATATTACCATGCGGCATCTGTAGTGTATTGTTGAAACACATTTTTGAAATGCTGTTGGAGAGTAGTACAAAAAGATACACATAAAAGCTGCTGTAAACCAAAGCAGGGAAAATCAATTTAATTACATTATAGTGAGCAACAGAATAATAAAGCAGCATTCACCTTGACATAACTACCAGACTGACTCCTTGACTTAATATGTACACTAACTCCTCTCATCCCAATCCAATTCAGACACAGCCGCACACATATGGACAGACAGAGGTTTCCTTTTCCCAAAAGCCTACAGAATCTAATTATCAGCCAAAACACTAAACCCTCTAGACCAGTGATTCCCAACCACTGTGCTGTGGCACACTAGTGTGCTGCGGGGGGGATCATTAGGTGTGCCGCGGAAAATGTATCCAATGTCCCAAAACTAATACTTATTTATTGCAAATAATTTTTCTTTGTTAGTCAATGTGTGACAGGCAGAGCAATGAAATCCTTTTCCACTAGGTGGCAGCAGATGCTTATTAAAACTAAGAAGATAATCAGAACTGTTGAAGATCTTTGTGTCTTTCTTCAATTCCTGCTAGTATATTAGCGTTGTCTTCAACTAAACAGGAGTTCATTTTTTTTAGTAAATTTAAACTAGAAGATTATTATGTTTCATTTCATAACTTTTTGTGAGATTTTTGTTCAGTGGTGTGCCGTGGGGTCACATGTATATCATCAGGAAAAACCGAAGTGTTTGGACAATATTAAAATGTCAGTATTACACAGTATTTATACTAAACAAAAACTACTTTCTTAAAAATAAATATATCTATTTTTGTGTTGAACATCAAACACACGTGACACTCAAATGAAATGATCCTGGCCGCAGTGGCCCTCAGCCTCATTTCACTTTGAGACCCCTGCTCTATTCTGTTTCCAAGATCATGACTTTTTTTCATTTGATTTATCAAACAACGGTGATTCTGTTTCTACAACACACACCTACTACAGTACACTGGGTAGACACAGGTCGCCGCTGCTGGATAAACTGACACTAGCACCACTGCACAAAGAGGACCAACACGGTCACAGGTGCTGTGATGTCAGATCCAGCTGCAGCGAGCATGACAGGCTCTGGAGGAAAACATAAACATCACACAGCTGAAAACAGCCTGAGACATCTTATGACACAGCAGCTGTAGCTGAATGGATTTCCTCATGCAGAAAGGCTTAATTCTGCACAGTAATGAGGCTTGACATTGAGTCCCACTTACCGTGGCTGTTGATAATCGCAGCACAACAAAATGAGATTTGCAGAATTACAAGTGAGCTTGTGGCTATGAAACTTTTCGATTTTTTCGTTTTTTTTAATTCCACCAGCGCCATGCGCTCGTAATTCCGACTGCTAAATATTCAGTGTGGCAGAAGACGCACCCGCTGAAAGCTGCAGGTGAAGTGGAACTCGCACTGCATCATGTCGAAGAAGATGGGGATGGTGGCCTTTCGCAACTCGATCTCAGGGACGAGCGTCATCTCAAGGATGGGACCCACCATCTCTGGGATGAATTTGATCTTGTGGGGCCCTGAGAGAAGACACGGACATTAAAGCACAACAAGTCATTTATATTCTTTTGTCCCAACACAACAACATGGATTGTTAATATTCTGACACTCAAACAACAACAACAACAATAATAATAATAATACAAAATAGCAGTAACTACTCAGTATCTCTCCCCCTCTTTTCAGCAAATCAGTCAATCTGTCTGGTGGAGGGCATTAATGTGGGGATCAGATGGTGCAGCTTCCAATAAGAGAACATTGGAGAAAACACAGGTGTCCTGATCTAACACCAAAATCCCTCCACTGCCGTCTTATTCCACCCAGACTCCGGGTCTGTCTCACCGTGCATACAGCAAATCAACACGTTACCATCTGTATTTAAACGCCTCTCCTCTGCGAGGCCACTCACAATATCTGTGATAATTATGAACAAAACAACATGTAAAGACATGCCTGTCACACTGCCACAGCCTCAGGGCTGCAGATGAAATGGGATTCATTTTAAAAAAATGTCTCCTCTTTGATAAGACAGAATATCCACAGGTGAAAAATACTTAAAAAAATGTCTCCTCTTTGATAAGAGAGAATAACCACAGGTGAAAAATAAAAGTAATAAAGAGGAAATTACCAAGATTGTACCACATATCCCTGATTTCAAAGCCAATTTGTCTCCTCATGTCCTGGTACCTGAAACACAAACATGATATTAAAAATGTAAGAAAGTGACAACACACCAAAGAGGACAGCAATGATTTAGGGAGAACAGAACGTTACTGAACACTCGGCAAAATAAAAAAAATTAAAAAAAAGACATTAAGATGTTTATTCCCCAGTGTTTGTGTGGAAATTAAAACTTTTTGAAACAGAGTAAATGGAGAAAAAATAAGCAGCTGTTGAATTTCTGCTCCAATAAACAACACTGTTTACTTTACAGTATTGTCGCCTCTATGTTCAAAGACAGAATAAGACATTGTTAAATAAACCTGTTGATGAGGAGCTTCTCCCAGCAAACCAGTTAATATTGACACCACGTTAACTGTTTTTATTTTGCAATGTTATACATATATATATATTTATCACTACTGTTGGCCATTACTTGGACCATAAACTTGAGGTCAAAGCAGCCAAACTCCTCATGTTATGTCCAACCTAAGCCTTGTCAACTTTGCCTCCATCTCATTTCACAAGTACTTTTTTTTATCTCACTTTTACAAAACAGCGCCTTAAGAACGATCGGCTTTTTCACGTCGAGGTCGTGGTTCATGCTCCGTGGCAGCTCCAGGCCTGGATCCCTGCCTGCTTGGTTGTCCTACTGTATGTCACAGAGAGGACAAACAGTGGAGTGCAAAGGGCAGTGAGGCAGGGACAGACAGTGAATGATGGAGAGAGTAAAGGGAGTGAAAATAGTGCGCAGCCAGGCAGAAAGAGAAACTGGAGTCTGTGGAACCGATCACATGAAACAGAAATAACGACTTCACTTCTTTTGAAACACGGCGATAAGAAAATAGAGTACGGTAAGTTTAAATTGTTTCAAAATCGAGCAAGATGAGAGACGATACTGTAACAGCTGGAAAAATGTTTGACCATTTTGCCGACCTGGAATGACAGACGTTAGCTGAACCAGGGTAAAATGTATTTTCACTTGTGGGTTTCCTTAGGGAAAATCTAAATATTGTTTTTCTGACGAGAAACACAGCCAGTCCTTTATAGTCCGTGCATGCAAGCAGAGTGTGAGTCTGAGCAGATTGATAAAAAAACAAAACAAAAAAAAAAAAAAACACCAGAATTATCAACCTTAAGCTTGAAAAACTCTGCCAACAGACGAGTTGCAAAAAATCCATGGCCAGAAGCTTCCATTCTGTTCCTGTGTGTGTGAGCTGAATAAGGGACAGTGAATGACCGGTCATCTTTGGTCGTTTACAGGGACACAGTCCTTGAAATAAGGACAAAACACTTCACATCTCTGATCTGCTCTGCCTCAGGACGATAAGATCGCTTCGAAAACTGAGTGAGTAAAATGAGAGCCAAACATAACAGGTACATAATGTTTAGATTCATTTAAAGCTTTCTTGTTGTTGGTAGTTGAAGCCAGAAGTCCTTATAAGCTTAGAATATTTTTAGTTATTAGCTATTAGCTGACACTCACAGAATCCACATCACCACTAAAGTTTGTCTTCAATATTTGAAGGTTTTAATCAGCAGTATTGTGTCTCAAGAAAGACTTCAGGTCAATCAGCCCTTGGTGACACTGCAGGTTAGTCAAAGGTCACAGTTTGGGCACAAAGAATGGCAGTTGATAGTTCCTTAGAATTCCTCCTGCTCTTTGACATTTCACTGCATGCTGTAGAATTCTGATAATAAATCAATTGTTTTGCCAATACTGTACAAAAGCGCATTAATGTGTTTTGACAGCGAGGCGAAGACAACTGAAAGACTTCCTGACAAAGGCACTGCGTCACCGCTTTGTCGCCAAATCACATCACCAGGTTTAGCTGTCAGGGGAGGGCGTGTCACCAGAACCGAGCACAGATTCTGAGGCAGCTTGTTGGCGTGGAGATAAAATTTAAATAGAGGCCTGCTGCTACGTTTTGACGTGGAGCTGTTGATGCAACAAAGGAAATGGAAATGGGAATGAACCGTTCTGACGTTAACACGTAAGTGATAGTGTTTTGTTATGGTGGAGATGTACAGCTGTACGCACAATTGGCACTAAAAAAAAACAGACACTGCATAAAAGTACGTTGGATCACTTTTCTACATTTAGAATGCACTTTGGGGCAGGTGCTGGTCTCACCAGAGCAGAGACAGATGCAGAGCGCTGTTCTGTCTGATGGGTGTGTGCAGTGAGACAGGCTGTTACGACTGTCAGCTGTAGGGACATGGAAACACGTACCTGTCACCCAGGGGAGGGGAGCTCTCTGTGAAGTTAACAAAAAAACAATGTGTCTGCAGAAGGAGAGCAATGAGTGTGGAATTGAACGGTGGCTCTCAAAGCACGAGTAAGGCGTTATGAATGAGTTGGAGGCAAGAGGCAAAGAGATGGATGGAGGGGCAGAAAGTGGTGGAAGGAGAAGAGATGGAGTAGAAGAAGGCAAAGTGGCAGACAGAGCAAGAGGGGAAAAATAATATACAACAGTGACTGGCAAGTAATGGCCTGCGAGAATAGAAGCATTCATAAAACCTGACAGGCTGACTCTTCATCGCTCACACTGTATGTGAATATCCTCAGAATGCTGTCTGTGCTGAGTAATTCTGGTCTGTATGTGTGTGTGACTGCAGCCCGGCAACCTTTACCACAACATCCATGGGAAAAAAAGCCCAAACGTTAGAACTTTTAAATAACTGCATGTCTCTTACAGTTAAAGACACAACGACGACTGAGGTGCTAAGATTGGATTCATCTCAATTAATTGTGATTAATTGAGATAACTCTGGACCATTGTCAGCCAAAACATTCTAATCATGAAATGGTGCTAAATTGCTCTAAAATAAATAGATGAAAACTAGACTAGAATAAGAAATAGACTAGACAATAAAAGAAGAGTAAAAAAATCTAAAATGTAAACGAACGGAGAAGAATTTCAGAAGTTCAGTGTTTTTGTCCCCAGTAGTAGCAGCATCATTGACACTCATCTCATGAAGGTTGTTCATTATATTTGAAAATAGCACAGAATCACTGGTTACTTTACTTAATTTTGCAAGTAAATTAAATAAAAAGTATTAGTTAAATGCTGCAGCATTTGTGCAGCAGTTTAGCTCAAAGTACTGACACTAAACTGCCGACACGTAACACATCACTGCACGTATGTATAGTACGGTGCAAAAGTGTGACTCGGGTGAGAAGCTGTTGCCGAGTGCTTAAGAGCAGGGTTCCACACACCTCAGATGCCCTCTCTCTGTTCTCAGCTCCTGGAAAAGGCACAATAATTGGTCCTGCAGCCAGGACTGACAGTGAACGCATCAGCACTCAGAGAAACAGGGATGCACAGAGGGAGAGGGAAAAGGTGAGAAGCTGGCACAAAGAGGGAGAGCGGGTGAGTAAGAAGACGTGGGTGAGGGAGGAACAGGTAAACCCTGTTATGAGACCAGCTTTGCTGGTTTTTTGCAATCAAACATTTGTGGGGGGAAAAAACTGCAGTGAAACAGTGATAACGTAAGTGTAACAAAAGGTTGTGTTTACAGGTGAGTGGTGATGGAGAATGTCCTCTTTACAGAGTGTGTTTGTCTGTGAGTTAGGGGCAATAATAAAGCCCTGAATGGTAAGAGGTCTCCCTCCCTCCCTCTCTCGCTCTCTCTCTGCCCAGCAGAGGCCAGTGTGATATATGCTTAAGTGACAAAAGCTCATCCAAATGAAGCAGAGAGCCAATATGCTGCATGCCTGCCCAGAAGGCATTTACCCATTTGGCTGCATGACCAGACTCTATGAGGATTACTAATTTGGCTGAATGGGTTTTTGCATATACAGTCAGTGGAATAAAGTGGGAATAAAATTGGTGTCTAGACACACCACCCAAACCAGCGCTGGGGTTTAGAGCAGATAAACAACAACAACAAAAACCTTAACCCTAGTACACTGACCACAGATCACCTGAGATCTGAGTAGGTGGTCTGTTCTTCATCACCCCTGCAGTGACCGTGAGGCTGTTGTGCTTTCTTCAGAAGAGCAAAAAAAAACAAAAACCCCAAAAAACAAGAGCAACCTCCACCAGCTGTGGAGAGATGGGTATCTGCAAGCCGTGTGTGATGAATTATATAAAGCCGCGCTCATGCTGGGCAGAGAGCCGAAGCTGTGCCATGAGAATGTTCTGAGTGTGAACACTTACTTATGGAAGATCTTGGCTCTTTTGTCACTTGAGAAATTCTCCAGCTGCAGAGACTCCTGGGTGAGGAAGGCCACGGCCAGGTGGAAGTAGTTGTTCCATAACTGAGCAAGATAAAGGCGGAGCCAGTTAGTGTGTGTCCTGATTAAGTCTGACCAAAGATGTCATTGGTGGCACAGACCGTCTATCTGGGATAGAAATCTTCACAGTTTCATTTCATCTAAATGACTTTGATGAGGTTTCATATGCTGCTGCGGTGGAGAGCAGTGACATCACAGGGTCAGATAAGTGGTACGGGCCATTTGTCTCCGGAGAGCACTCTATCAGACAATGGCAGCAGCTTGAAGCAGAGCTACTGTACTGTCTCATCATTCAAAGCAGGGCAAATAGTCTCTGCCTAAGAGAGTATGTGAGGAGACTTTAAAGTATAAGGCAGTTTTTGAAGGTAATGCACATCATGAAGTGTACTACTTCTTCTTCCCCATAAACAGAGCTGTGGGCTCTCTGCTGTACATCCTGTGTACTGTATATTCAGTCTATATCCTGTCTTTATCCACAATGTCTAGAAATGTAGTGTTTTTGTTTGTACAGACTTTTTACCTCCTGTTAATGCAATCCTGCAATACAACACCCAGTGTGGGTGTATATTCAGTCTATATCCTGTCTTTACTATATCCTGTCAATACAGTTCAATCTAATATAATGTAATCTAATCAAATCTTGCATTAAAAAAATGAAAAACAATTTTCAGAATTAGGTTTTAGTTATCTAAAAATATTATTTGACACTAGTTTGGGCAAAAAGACATACTTATGTTTTGGCTGAAGGAAGGCAGGCAAAATGGCTTTCATTGACTTGACTCTTACCTGAAGCTCAAAGTTGGTTTGGTCCAAAAATTTCTTGTTCAGCACGGCTGCATACTGATTGATGGCACGCAAGAAGACTCTGGGAAGGAAAGAGAAAAATCAGGAAAAATATAATGGTATTCATGCCATTCATTAAAATGCATCCATCTGCTAAATATATATATAACAAAAGAGATGTCCGATAATATCGGCCCCATATTTTGCATATTTTGCAATATCTGTAAGAGTCGTTATCGGTTTTTCCTCCGATAATGAAACCCAATGCCTGGGTTTCACGAAATGATGACTGCTCTAAAAATATTGCGACGCCCCAGCGACAGGGCAGTCAGATGCCTCAGTGCTCTGAAGAACTTTTATTGAAACACAATTGCAGTAACTCGTTCTAAACTCCTTTATTGCTCTCAACCCAGTTTCTCCAAAATCGCTTTTTCCTTCTCTCACACCCTCCGCTCCCTCACAAACATGTAACTGTTAACTCCTTCAGATCAGACGAACACAGAACATTTACAAATGGCAGCATTGTAGCTTAGTTTATTAATATATTATCAATATCAATATTTTTAATATTGATAATCAGGATTGATGTAGATTGCTGGTGCCAGCAACTCTTACAGTGGTTTGTACAGATGAGTAAATAAATATTACCAGGGGCTCAATAGTATTTCAATTCTGTCCTCTCGGTGGCAGAAAATATTTGAGAAAATTACTGTTTTGACCCATCACCTTGGTGAGCAGGCAACACTTAACTTCCACCATCGTCCTGCTATATCGGTATTAATTAATATCAGAATCAGATATATATATAGATATATATATAGATATAGATATTTGTCCTATGACTTTGTTTGAAGCCAGCCTTTAACCAATACATATTTTGAACGAAAGGCACTCAAGCCTTACTTTTTGAGTTTGCCTTTATTTTATTTTTACCCAGGTATCTCTTAGGGGGACAACAGACTTTAAATAAAAGATAGAAATAAGGCTTTTTACTTTTTTTGCATCTACTTTTACCAGCAGCCTCCAGGGAAGAGACAATCAAAACAAACACAACAAGAACACACGCACACAAAAAAAGACACTACACGCTGTGTACAATGACAGATAATTAGAAAACTAAACTGTGGTTCAGGCTCCAGCCAGACAAGAACAAAAACGCAGCACTCTGTACTTGTTCAAAGAATGAATGTTTTCCCCTGTGGAAAAAAACCCAGAGTTTCTGACAGAGGTGAAACCCAGGTCCAGACTCCCTCTTCGGCACACTCCAGAAAAATAAAAATAAAGAATATATATATATATAGATATATATATACAGTATATATATATATATATATACACATATATATATACATATATAGTTGTTCTTAACGAGAACACTGTCTGATAGGCTAAAACAAATTAAATGTTAATAACTTTGGTGGTAAGAAGCTTTTAAAGAGGAATTATGAGTGCTTATAATGAGTCAGAGGCCCAATTACTACTTAACCTCATTCCCTGCTAGGAGCAGTTGTACAAGTAAACTAAATAAGTTTTAATCTATTATATAAAGCACCGGGACAAAAAAAAATGCCTGTATCTTGGTTTCCATTAAGCTGGGTTACTTTATTTAGAGAATCATCACCTCGGTTCTTGTGGTTTCACAGACCCCGACCCTGCTCTGGTGAGGGACTATAGCCCTCCCCTCAGATGTTGTAATCAGCATGAATTGATTAGTGAGGCATTGGAATGTATGGGGAGAATGGGGAAGGTGAAACAAGGACAATTGTTAAGTTAGCTGAGTGGATTGCCTGAGGGTTTCATGAGCGGGGCAATAAAGCAGGATTAAGATGTAGCACTGAGTTAACCGACAGTGGCAACGGACCAGGCATCTGCCACACAGTCCTCTCGTACTCAGCCCTAAACCTTGTGCTTACAGTCAGCTGCTGGCATTCATTACACTTTCCTCATGGTCAATTTTATTTATTTTTATTCTTTTCAGCTGCTAACATTTGACACCGACTTTTAGCTCCTGTGGAGCTATATCTTGAGCTATATTCATAAATAAAAACCAGAAAAACCAGAAGTTTTCAACCTATGGTTCCAAAGCTACATCAGGCTCTTTAACCTCATTCCCTCTGCGATGATGATTATTTTCATGAATGAACCTAAATTAAATCATGACTAATTACACCTAATTAGCAAACATCAGTGCAAACATTAAACTCTGCTTCATTTAAAAGGCTGAGATTTAGTGAGAAAACAGTAAAAATGGTTCTGCAGGAGTTACGGGGTGCAGACCCCTAAGTTAAACGTTTTTTTATGCGGCCACTTATAGATTTTTTTTTTTTTAAATATTAACTACCTTTTTATAGTAGAAGTTAGTATATTTAGCTTATTGATTTTTTTAATTTTTTTATTTTCTGTACCTGCAAGGATTATTCATGTTAAACACTTGAAGGACAGTAAATGCACCTCTACGTTAAAATCCTTCAATGTTAGAGTTCCTGCAAATTTGATGAAGAAAAACAACAGCACCAGGTTTTCAGCTAACAAGCACTTCATGTGATTAACAACAACCAAGAACGGAGAAGGCAGAAGCTGCAGATCAGCAGATCTGCCATTCAGTACAGTCCTGGCCATAATTCCCTGCCATTGACTTGGAAATATATCTGTACAAAAAGGAGTCATTCAGATTATTGGCTGAAAAAGGTTAACTGCCATTGAATACCTTTGAATAAGCCACCAGGGGAGACTTTTCCCGTGCTCTGTGGGCGAATAGTGGGAAAAGCCCTGTGCCCTCATGAGCACTCAGCCTGTATCCAGTCAGCACCGGTGCAATCTCCTCCTCAGCGCCCTCAATTTTCTGCAACTCTGAGCATGCCAATATAGTTGAGACGCTTAACACTGGAGTAACGCTTAAATGTGTTCCCGTCCATTGCGCTTGTGGGTGGAGAAACATTGCTTCTCAATATTTTGAGGCTTATCATTTTTAACCTTAACATTTTGGAAATCATGGTGAATTAAAACGTTCAACATTTGCAACAAATTCCAAATATCAATACTGGTTATAATATTATATAGAATAATAATATATCTTTGTTAAAAAAGCCAGAGGATGCAGAGAGTGCATTTAAAGCACACAGCTCCCACAGTTTGCACACAGTGATATCAATACTCTTCACAGCATCTGAATGAAGAGGAGACAACAGGTAAAACACCACTGTAATCAGCCGTTCCCAGCTAATCTCCACTCTCCTGTGGAGGCGGTCTGTTATACTGCGGCTGTAATTAGCCGCTGATCCCTGTGCTCTCTGCACCAATGACTTTCCAGTATCTGCTCCACGGTGACACGGTGTGTGTGTGAACTCCTTTGCAGGTGACTTCATGTCACACCACGGGTCACACAATAAAGTCAATTCCAGTAAATGAAGGCACATGTGAAGCCTGCGGTCTGCTGCAGTGCAGAAATATAATGGGATTTAACAAAGAGACAGGACACTTCCTGTGTGAACTCATCCTGTCATTAATTAAAGTGGGGAAAAAAAATTTAATGAGGCGGATGAAAATAGAATATACTCTCACACACAGGGCTGTGGCTGAGACACCTCAAAAGGGCCGTTTAAGATTAGCGGCATGCTAACGTCCTGAATCGGAACATTATTCATTAATGTGATCTTTGAAAGTATAAAATCTTTTATCAGCGGACATTAAAATAAACCTAATAAAGCAACGGGCTGCTCTTCGCCTCAGTTCCAGTAAAGATCCGATAACAACATAATTACTACGCATTATAAAATGATACATCATTGATTCCAGGCACTATTCTGACCAGTTCAAGCAATAAGTATGAATCAGATGCACATTAGTAGATTATTACACAGCCGGTGCTTTTAATCTGACGTTAATAACTAGCAACAAATGCCCACGAGGAGGAAACCTGGCTGCTGCATAACATCGGCACACGCAGGGTCTACAACCAGTGTACAACAACTTGTAGCCAGGACGCCAAGTATGAAAAACGTATTATTATATGGTAGAATTATATACCAGTCATTCTTCAACCAGAATAGTAACAACTTAACCAAGATATCAGGCATTTCTGGAAATGTTTTCCCTCAAGGTTTTAATACAAATCACTGTAAACCATCATTGTGAACTTCTTACAGTTCTTTGTCAGCACTTAGAAGTACAGACTGAAAATAATTTGAAAGTTTTAAATAAGGCATCCATACAGCAGCGTAGCATTTACAAAGGATTTGTGCCTCATTTTGTACAGTTCACATGACATCACTTATTTTGCAGTATACTGTACAAACACACACACACACAAAACCCTCATTACTTAGGAATAATTGGTTCGCTACATTCCAGCACAGGGGACATAGAATCTCCCAATAGGTATTGTTTTTAATTAAATTTAAATCCGGCTTTTTGTTTGAAAGTTCTAAAACGCAGATCTGAACTGTGTCACATGATCGGTACGGTGGAGCAGAAACATTTATGCTAATAAAAAGTTATTAGCAGATCATACTTGCTAATTAAGTTCAGGGAGCAAACTCGATAAGGATCGCAGTCTATTTGCATATTATTGGCGAACAGTGAGTGAATCTGCATCGGCTCAGAGATAAGACAAGGTCAAAATCCTTCATTATCAAACTCATTTCGTCAAATTGATCACTTTTACTTTGGACCTTGAATTTCACACTTTGGAAGAGTATTTGTAGTTATAGTTTTTTTTTAAGACACAATTTCACTCCACTGTGACAACAATCCTATGTAAATTATGTAACTGAATAATGTTTTTGTACACTGACTGCGTCAGACCTTCAGAAAATCACTGAACACCATTCAGTGAATGCTCTTTTTTGAACCTTAAGAAAAAGAACTGCAGTAGCACACAGTACATTGTACTGCTGCTACAATGCTGTTTGTTACATCAATGTAAAGTCAAACACAACTTAAGTACTAAGCTACTTCTTCTTCTAGAACTAAATAACACAAGGGTCATGAAGGTCATGACCTTAAATGCAACACCCTACCACTGATAGAACATGGAGCGAAAGATAACCAATCAGCATGCTAATACAGGTAAAGGCCAACAGT